TTGATTTGATGCCACCCAACTCCAAAACGCTCTGGAAAGCTCATAGTACACCAAAAATAATAAAAACAACATATAATGGAAGCAAACAGCAAAACCAGGCAATGGAAAAACTAGTCTTAGTTTCAATTCTAAGAAGTATAAATACTTTTCAAAGGGAGCAGTGAGTCAGCTATTATGTATTTTAAAAAACGGACTGTTTTACTATTTGTTTGGACTATTGCAGTACACACTCCATCGGGCTGACTTTGAAAAACACTTGGAAGTCTAGAACTGTGGCTTAAATATGTTATGGGCATCACTCGGTTTCCCTATATAATTCCTTTAACAGTTGTACTTATTACCAGTATGCTTCTAGGTTGTTGTTTGTCACCTTTAAAACCTTGCCTCTTCTGAGACCTAGGTATCCATGGCACTATCTACTCTTAACCGTCTTTCTATTAAGATCTGAGGGAAGGGTTTCTCTGGATCCTAACCCTTAGGGAGTGTCATCTGCAGGGATCTCAAACCCATCCTCCTTAGTCATGCTCCCCCACTACATCTTTTCTGGAACAGCATTTCCCCTGATATCAGACAAGCCGGACAAGCAATAGCAGGCATTTGTATGTGCCAAATCTCCCACTATTGATTCTGGACAGCTTGTTATCGTCTGTATGCTTAGATTCATCTTCTGGGAAGACAACAATATTTTATTTGGTTTCTATGCCATTCTAATCATAACTCATCTTGAGAAGCCTATAGTCCAACAATTAATTGCATAATTAAAGCAATATATAACAATATCAAAAGGAGGAATAACCCATAGGTAAAAGATATTCACCCATCTTCCTAGAAGATGAATCTAAGCATACAGACGATAACAAGCTGTCCAGAATCAATAAGATAATGGATAAAGGCTCTGTAATTACAGAATGGCTCTGATAAGGGTAGAGAACAGAGTTCCTTTCATAGTGGGAGATTTGGCACATACAAATGGAATATATCTTTTTAGTAACTGCAAAACAGCATAAAAAAAATCAATAAACAGTTCCTTACTAAAGTTCCTTTGGCTGCAAAGAAGGAATTGTGAAGCATACAGTATCCCACTATCCTGATTATAGACAACCGAAACAGACTAATCAAGAAATAATTCTGGAAAAGATATAGCTCAATTAAGTGAACTGAAAGCAATAGCACTTAGACTTATATACTGCTTCATAATACTTTACAGCCCCTTCTAAGCGGCTTACAGAGTCAGCATATTGCCCTCAACAATCTGAGTCGTCCTTTTACCGACCTCAGAAGGATGGAAGGCTAAGTCAACCTTGAGCTGGTCAGGATCGAACTCGTGGCAGTGAGCTGAATTAGCTTGCAATACTGCATTATACCCACTGCACCACCACGGCTCCTGGACTAGACTATAGTCCTAGACCAAGAACTATAGTTAGCTGGTCTTTAAAAAACAAGCAGCAAAAAGAAACTTGTAAGTAACACAAGCTTCATCAGCTGGACTGTGTATTGCTTCAGATCTGAAAAAGTGCTTCACAGCCCAAAGTGAAAGAAATATAGTAGAAGCAGCTGCAATCTTAGAGCAACAGCTGCATCTTTTTCCAGGATGACATAACAGCCCCCTGCAGCTGCCAGAAAGACAATATTTTCACCACCTTCCCCATATGGTCTGAAGCCAAAGCTTCTTGGCCTTTGGATCCAAAGCTTTCCACCAACCCTGTTCATCAGTATTTGCCTGGGGAATGGGTTAGCACTACAAAAACAAATCAATATATAAAAGCTACGTCAGAGAATAAATAGCAAAGAAAACCCAGAGGCAGCAATGTTTTTTGAATTCTTTATAAAAATGGCTAAGTGGAAGCATCATATCAGAATCCATAAACATGTGAAATACTTGTATTTTCAATTCGTTTCTTTGTAAGCATTGTTGAGAACAATTTTACTTATTGCATTAGACTTTTAGTGTAGTCATATTAGTCATGTAAAATAGTCATCTAGGGAAAGCAAGGAAATTGGATGGAGTTAAAAAAAAACTACCATCAACCCAAAGAGAACTAAAGACTCACTTAATGATTTTTCTTTTCATTTAGCATATAAATTAAACTTTAAACTGCCAAGTAATTAAAAGAATGAAACATCTAGGTAAAATACAAATATATTGTAATATAGTCTATAGCAGAGGTCCCAAACCTTTTGGGCACCAGGGACTGGTTCCATGGAGAGAGGTTTTTCTGTGGACCGGAGGGGCGTGGTTTTGTGTGTTGCCTGCATCCCATGGGTGGGGCTTTGCTTGCTTGTGCGGCCCGGTTGCTGGCATGCTGCGGCCCGGTACTGGTCCATAGACCAGGGGTTGGGGACCCCTGGTCTATAGTCCAGAATATAAGAGTCTTTTGCATAAATTTGATCCAAAAGATATAGGATTTATATTTCATATGTCATGGTTCCGAAAGAAGAAGCTCTTCAAAGAACTTTGAGGCATTGTTTATCTTAAAGAATCTTTTAATTGCAACATAGCTTCGCACGTACATAGAGAAGCCAAAATCTGAATTCTCCTCCCCCAACACAACATAACAAAGCATAACTCACTCCTTCATTTAACAGTCATTAATCACATTCTCCAATTAGTTTGAAGTGTGAACTTTCCCTCCCATTATCTCCTCTTATTACAACTAACCTTGAAAAATACCCTACTGAAATATTGTTATGGCTAACTAGTCCCCAAGTACATTCTTCCCCCCTCCCTTCCAGCACTATCTAATTTTAACTCTAAAAGTAATACACAGGTTAAATAGAAAATGTCTGCATCTTCATATAATGTCAAGCAAGAACATCTGATGTTAGCAGCATTGACATTATAATTCTGTAAGAATTTTCCTAAAGTGACAGGTAGTCCTTGACTTACAAAATAAAACATTTTTCTGATCTTTTATGCAATTTAATAAAATAATTCTATATTGGTATGGCTTTTGTATCCTATGCATCCCATTAAAGTAAAAGGTAAATTCTCACACTGAATCATTTTACATCCTGGTTAGAGATGTAGCCCCAGGAACTCCTTTTTTTCTTTTCACACAGTGACTAAGATCTGAACTGTCTCTATTCAGAAATACAGAAGCCTGAATGATATGAAAAAAAATGGAAAGTTTTTGCACAATATCTGCAGTCATTGAGGCATAAGAAAAATATGTCTTTAAATTAGTCTTTTGAAATCTGAAGGCGGAAAAAGTTCCCATCTGTCTTTAGAGTCTCTCAGCCTTCTTAATCTTCTTCACTAGAAATATAATGATCTGCATAACTGAAAGCTGGAAAGTTAATGGCTAGTTCTCCCCATTTTTTGTATATGTTTTTTGAGGTGCATTTCTTATCTTTGAAATATACCACAAAATTTTTTATTTTTAAGCAAGGAAGATCTAGACCTTTGTATACCATCATAGTTCCCCATATCTGAAAAAAAAAAGTGAGAAAATCATATTAGGAATATACCAATACAAGAATCTGTTGTTCCTGAACTCCCAATTCCCAGCCATCATCATAACCCAAAGTGAGGGTCTTTGGGAGATATGGCTCACAGTATTTGGAGAGTCCAACCCAGGACTAACCCAAAGACATCCAAATTAATTAATTCCGACACTCACCTGGCCACAATTTCTACAGATAATGTCCCCGTTTGTTTGATAATCTGCTTCTTTTGCTCGCAGTGTCTTATTTTCCCTTACGATATAAAGGTTCCTGGAGTGAAAAACGGAACAACTTACTTTTGAAAAGAAAGAAGTTGTGACTAGTTTTTCATATAGGCAGGAAGAAGTTCATCTTATCAGATAAGCATCATTGACACTTCCTGTAGATTCAACCCTCTCTGCTGGATGAGTCACCAAGTCTACAGGCCAGAAATCCTCACCCTTTTGCTAGTGGTATTTAGCTTTGTAGCGAGTTCTAGAAGTTCACTAGTCAGATGTAGGTATAAAAGGGAGTTATGAAAAAAAAAAATGAACTGGGTGAGGGGCAACGATGTTCAATACTGACTACATTTCCTAAGTCAAAACACTGGATTACATCACAAGCCTGTATCGACTTGTATTTGGAATATCCACTGCTACCAATTTACTTTGGTTTCTGTGGTTGGCATCTCTGCCTACTCAAAATAGGTAGTATGATCAAAGAGAATTCACAAATTTACAGTCGATCGATGATCACATGAGCAGTTACGGCAGCAACTGAGATTTGCCTATTTTCAGTTAAACTATTGGTATTCAGTAACTCTGCTTAGAGATTTGCCTGTAGACATCCCTCTTGTCTTTCCCTGCCTTGATGGCTGGATCCCGTCTACTTCTTTATTGGATAGACTCCTGAACAGCATTACAAGAACATTGTTCCAGGCTGTCAGGAAAAGGGTGCCCTTTTAGTGTATGGGTACATTGCATCATTAAGCCAAATCAAACTAGAGGGATAATTTCAGAGCAAGATTACAACTTCCATTTTTATTGGCATGAATGAGAGTTTAGCTCAAAAAAGAATCCTAAGCAATGCAATCAGTGGATTAGCAATTAGTGCAACCACTGCACTGATTCAATCGATGGAACCAATGGAACAGCTTTCCTTCAGAAGCTGTGGGCGCTCCATCACTGGAGACTTTTAAGAAGAGACTGGACAACCATTTATCTGAAATGGTATAGGGTTTCCTTTCTGAGCAGGGGGTTGGACTAGCTGACTCCAAGGTCCCTTCCAACTTTATTATTATTATTATTATTATTATTATTGTTGTTGTTGTTGTTTGTTGTTGTTGTTGTTATTATTATTATATTTTTAAATTTCTGATTTCTCCTTTCTTTGTACCCCAACTGATTTGCAATACTTGTTGGTATAATACTTGAGCAGGGGGTTGGACTAGAGCAGTGGTCCCCAACCTTTCTAGCCCCACAGACTGCAGAAGTGGTGGCAGTGGGGAAGGGGTGGATGGTTTCATGCACACATCCTAGCTCCTGCCCATGTGCAAATGTAGCTTTGCATGATCACCCACCACTTGCATGGCCCAATTCCCAACAAGCAGTGGACTGGTACTGTTCCGTGGCTTGGGGGTTAGGGACCCCTGGACTAGAAGACCTCCAAGGTCCCTTCCAACTCTGTTCTATGTTCTGTGTTCAATCAGAACAGACACCCTGATGATAATACAAACAGGTACACACACACACAGAGAGGCGGACTTACGCAAATTCCTTTTTTACATTGACATGATGCATATTTAAAATAACTTGAATGTCATCTCCTGAGCATTTTGGATCTTTGCAGTTTTTGCAGTGGAACATTATCAGGGAGGGGTTCTCCTTGCATTGTTTAAACTGTTCTTTCTTTGCCTTCATTTTCATCTCCATGCAGCTTTGCAGCTGAAGCTC